ATTATTTTGTTTCAAGTATGTATTGTATAGATGAAAAGCTGTTACTTTATGGAAAGCAAACTCATTATATAAAGATAGAGATTTTCCCCAAATAAATATTTACAATTTTTTTTAAAAATGTAAGATTGCTTAAATAGCAATATTTTATATTGTGCTGAAAATATTTGAAAAATAAAATTTTCATATTCATATAAAGCCATATATAGAGGCCTTTAAGATAGATTAAAAGAGCAGGGCAGGATAGGCTACACAGGTTTTTCAGATATTTCTAAAAAAAAAAAAAAAAAAATCCTCCTATCCACCTTTTTTTCGGTCTCAGATAAAAGCAATTGTTTCAATGTATCTTAAATGCAAATGCAATTATGTGAATTCTAGTTTATATGAGACAAGCCCCCCATCCCTTCTGTCCCCCACATTTCAGTTATTCACTGTTATCCTCATCCAAGTTTCTTATTAGGAACTTAGATACCTGCTGATACCACACAGAAATAGATAACACTGTCAGAAGCTTTTGGGTCGAAAGAGAGTTAAAAAGGAAAAAATACAGAGCTACATCAGATTTGAGAAAGGTTTTTCTTTTAATTCAAGTCAGCATTTTTAAAACTCTGAGGCTTAATGCCTGCTGAATTTCATATTAATCTTACATAGTTTCATAATGCTAATTATGCTATTTAGAGGGGAAAAAAAGAATGAATAAAAGGGCAAAAACAGATGAAGGGGGAGGAACAACAAAGAACAGAAATGAAAATAACGCAGGCAGACCAGGTTCAGTCCTACCTGAGATTCAGGGTCAGCCCCTGGGCGGCCGGGATCAGATCAGGCTCAGGGCTTTTCCTGTATTGCAGATGCTTCTTGCAGATGCATGTCCCCTTGGCCATCCAAACTTTTGACTGCAATCACAGCTCAATTCTATGGACATGCTCAATCACAGTCATGAAGATCTTTTTATCAATTAATGTGTGGTGCTGAATGCAGTAATTATTATGCCCAGGCCAAAATAAAAGGCGGCAACAACATTGCTTCCCCTTTGACACTTTTATTCCCTCACCTGTTAAGGTAGTGCAGTCTTAAATAGTGTGCAAATAATTTCATAAGAAAGCCACAGTAATTCTTATAAACAATTTCACATTTACAATGTTGCTTTTTATTGCTGAAATTGAATTAGATTTCTCAAAAGCTATTTAGAAAAAGAAAATTGCAAGGCCTGTCCATTGTATTTTTCAGAAGAAATCTGGTTTCTACAACATTATTCACATTTTGTAAACAGCATCAATGAACCTGCACATAAAAGGTTAAATGTTTGCAGACCATTCTTTTTTGCCTCGAAGATCAGAGACAAATTACTATTTTTATTTTACATTCCCTTGATGAGGATAATGATAAACAGCTGTCACTTCAGTGCTTTGACTGCAAAGAATCCTATTGCAATCCTATAATTTAAACAAAGAAAAAATACATAGTCATACACAGGATACATTCAGAAAAGAGCATGATGGAGAATCTGGTTAGGGCTGGGGTTAAGAGAAAAGGGAACATTAGCTCTCTGCAATTACTCAGTTAAAAGAAAAATTTCTTCTGTATACATTTTCTCCATTCATCTTAGACATATTAGAAGGGGCAATTGTTGCTTTTTTTCTTTCTGAAATCAGAAATCAAATTTGCATTCTGAATTTGGTGACTCCCTGTCGTGTCCAGTGTATTATCAGAAAAGTTAAGATTCGCATGTGACCATGTGTCTGCTAATATTTCCCAAAGCAAAGGACAGTTTCAAATTGTTTTACTGGTTATTTTGGAAATATTTTATTCTTTATGTTGAGAATCAAACCAGTGTTCTTTATTCACTCTGACACGGCTTATCAATTGCTTCTGACTTCAAAAAGCAAAAAAATGCCAGTAAAGCAAGGTTAAATGTTGAAGGTCATATAAAATGGGGAAATTTCAACTGAAAATGTGAGTGGTGATTCAATTTTCCTGGTGCTTCATCTTCCTAGAGACCTATTTAGTATACTGTATTTATTCTGCTTTTCTCTTTTAGCTCAGGCATTTACTTCTTGAAAATATCAATACTTCAGGGACTCTTTCTCCAAGAAACTTTTTTTACATTTATTATTTTATCTTTACCATGTACGGATAGCTCATTATTTCAAGCTTCCTGGTTTTTACACCTAAAGAAAAAAAAAAGAATTAGCTTAAAATCATATTCATTTTAAATTTGTTGAATGGTTTCAGCCTCAGAGCCTCAATGTGTTCTTCTATAGATTGACAGGAACCTTGGTGCCCACCTCCTCAGATATGGGGCAGCTTCTATATGAAGTGTTTAGCATGGTGCGTGAACACAGTAGGTACTCAATAAGTGTTCCTGGGAAAGAGATTGATCCACCACCCCCTATTGCTGAACATAATAGCGAAGTCCAAGAATGTTTCAGGACAGAAGGATAAATTAAATTGTACAGTAGTCATTCTAGAAGTTTAGATTGCTTTATATAGGAAATATTTCTTCACAAAGCTGTAGGTCATCTATTCTCATGTATAGACAGAGTTTTCTTAGTCATTTTATCATCTTAATTATTTTCAAGCCCATCAACTTGAGGTTTCTCTGGCCTCTGTTCTTCTAACAAAGTCTGCACTCCTGGACACCCTGAGCTGCAGTTGACTTTGGTAAACCTGTTTGTAGCATTAACTCTGCCCCCTTCTCCTCCTCCCCCTGGACACCAGGTTCTATGCTAGGTGCTGGGAAGGGGAGGTAAATGAGCTCTTAGCATCTAGGAGGGGGATTAGCATATTATTATTTAATGACTAAGCTGGACATTAAATAATAAAGGCCAGTGTGAGGATGAAGTGCAGAAGAGGGGTGGGGGAGGTGAGGGCCACCAGGGGCCTGTCGGGGGGGAGGTGTTGGTGGAGCATGTTTGAAAGATGACAGGTCTTCACAGTGGGCAGAGTTGAGGGAAGGCAGGGCCCCAGGTAAGGGGGGTTGTTTTCAGAAAACATGGAGGTATAAAAGAGATGTCCTTTGGCCTTTTGAAATAAGATTTTAATTATACATGTTTTATCATCTTAAAAGTTCATAATGTGTGTTGAGAGTCAAGCAGCTCTCAGTTAGTACATGAATATTCAGAAAGGAAAGACACTTTACATTTATAGAGCGTCTCTGAGGCCCCCTGCCAGGTCATTTTGTACCCGTTGTATCATTCAGCTGCCATAAGCTTTCCAGGTAAGTTTGTCCCCACTTTAAAGATATGGAAGCTGGGTCAGTCACAATGGGAGACTTAGTGGCACCACACACCCAGTGTGACAGAGCCTGGATCTGAACCTGAAACTTCACTTTCAAGTACAATGTCCTTAAATGATGTTGTAATTTACTGTTGACTCTCAAGAGTCTTGGTGCAGTGCAGAGACCATTTGCAGACTTAGAGTGACGTTTTTGTCTTAGAAGAAATTTGGGAACACAGTGTTTTTTTTTCACTACTGTGGTTGACATTTCCACTACAGTTTTATCATTTTGCGGCCTTAGTTTCTGCTTACCTATCTCAGATCCTGCTGAGCCTGAATCACAAAGTAACAGTGACAAAAGACCTGATTTAACTCTTTCCTTCAGTGACCCAAGCCCATTTTTAAAGAAATGAAATAGGTGAACCACTGTCCTGTTGAACCTTCCAGTCCTCCGCCTGCTGTTGCCACAGGCCAGTGCCTCAGAAATGCCTTATGCTGTCCCCAAAGCCTGCGGTCAGACCCTTAGGCCTGGAAAATGGCAATTGTTTTTTTAGAGTTAGCGTACATTAAATGTTTTTAAGGTATTAGATATTTCTGAGTGAGAGGAGCCTTGTAAATGATTATAAATTTCGGTGTTGTTTTTGATCTTGTGTAGACTGTGTGTCTTTCACACCTGCATATTGATTCAAAAGAAAGGCTTGTTGTTTATAGTTCCAGTTAAGCCATTTAGCACAGGGCTTTGCTAGAACTGATCAGATGATGGAAAACCTGGCAGATCAAAGTGTGTACATTTCCAGGGAAAAAAAAAAAAAAGTACTTCATGTCCACATTGGAAGCAATAAATTATTTTCCCCTTTTACATTCATAATTAAATCTTTCCAAATACTAGAAAGTAGCCAGACCACTCACAATATCTGTCATGTTTGGGGGCTTAGATGGTTCGACCTGACTTGAAATGGAGACCATTTGTTCTAAATTGATTTCAATGCCAAGCCCATAGGTCAGTCCTTAATGACGAAGATGCCATTCCACCCCAGCTCTGGTGGATAAGCCAAAATTAATTAGCTCAAGTCCTATAGTATAGAAAACAGATGCTTCTCTCATGTTACACAAATAAATTCTTTGTGGATAGATGTGTTCTGTTTTATTCAAAGAATAGCAAGTTGGAAGTGAAAATGGTAAGTTTTCCACCATGGAGCCAGCCCTCAGCAGTGATGACAGAGTGTGGATTCACATAACAAAGTCCAGCAAGTGCGTGGGAGAATGAATCACCTTTTATATCTCTTATTTTGGCTCTAGGCCAGTCCTAGGAGGTATAGTTTTGAATCTGGGTTGATCCAAATGCTGATCCAATCCAGAGCAGATCTAGAAGTGCCAGAATAGCATCAAGGTTATTTCTAATCTATAGTGTCCCTGGAGACTCCTCTCCGAGGCTGACATGGCATGCTATGTTGGGAGTCCATTCTTTGGCCTGCTTGCAGATGGCTTAAGATGAGACTGATTGCTAGAGGTCTGTTGTTAGGCGACTATTCATTTTAGTGATTCATCTCAACATTCATTCAGAATTAGAATACTTGCTTTTACTAACTACGGCAGACTAAAAAAAAAAAAAAACACTGATCTCTTTTTCAGAATTACTTGACAGATGGTGAGATAAAGATGTTACTGTGTAGTGGTATGAATTCCAAGCATACTAAGCAGAAGAAGTTGATCATTTGATAATGTTTGGTGTTTTTATTCTTCTGAGCCAAGGTGAGGTAATCCATGTTTTGTTTCCTTTCTGTAAGACTGAAAATGATGAGAATGGCCAAGCAGAGAACTTTTCCATGGACCCACAACTGGAGAGGCAAGTGGAGACCATTCGCAACCTTGTTGACTCCTACATGTCTATCATCAACAAATGCATCCGAGATCTGATTCCAAAGACGATAATGCACCTTATGATCAATAATGTGAGTGACTCCAAACCCTCTCTTTTTAACCTCTAACCCATCCTCCCTTGGAAATCAAGCACATTTTCTTGAGTTTCTTTGTGACATTTTGTGGATAACTGAAATACCCATTACCCAGGTCAATAATTTTTCCTTTACAAATGGTGACTAATAGATGGAATAGAACTTAGGAGAGAAAATTTAAAACTTCTAACTACAGTACCAAGAAGTTCCTCAACTGATTCTCTTCTAAAAGGTTCTCTCCCTCACTGGTTCTCTTCTAGAAGGTTGTGTATTTGCTCATAATAAAGCAGAGCAAAAATACTGTTTTCATGGTCATAGTATAAATTAATTGCAAAGCCAATAATGAAACCAAATGCCCTGGCTTCTAGACCTAGAGACTGAAGGCATAGGAAGTACTTTCCCCTGCATATGCTCAATGTGTGTAGCTCTGTGTTAGTGTGGTTATTTCATCTTCTGTAAGCCACTGGATGCTGTTTTAACCTGGGAAAGGGCTTCTTCCCATCCCCTCGGATACCAGGTCAGTCAGCTCTGCTTTTCTAAGGACAATCCCAACCTCTCCTTTTCTGGTTATTCCTAGTAGTCCGGACGGGATACTTAAATTCTGTGGTCTGCTTTGGTTCCTTCAGTGGCCAACTTTCTAAAGTACAAACAATACAAGTTTTTAGATAAATTGTCTTTTAGGAAAGGAGGTTAAAAGGAGGTATTCCGTAGCAGACTTTTCTGAACCTTGACAAGTCAGGCATCAGCAATTTTACTCCCAGTTGTCTTCTAAGGGCATCGTTTCATTTAAACCAAGAACAGGAGCATTTCTTGTGAGAAGTCAAGGTCAGATGGTAAAGTCATGAAAAGAGCCCCAAACCAGAGCTCAGGAGGAGCCTGGCTCGCGGCCTGTTTCTGCCGCCCTTCTGTGGGACTAAGGCAAGTCACTGCTGCGGGCCTGTCTCCCCGACCTGTAAAATACTGATGGTGGGAGCTGTCGCCTACTGGGGGATCACTCCAGAAGACAGTGTATGTGAAAACAAGCTCGGCTGCTGTGGAGGACCTATAAATGTCCCTTGCCTGTATTTCAAGATTTACTTCAAAAGGTCTGACAGTCCACTCACTGGCCATGACCCTACATCCCTTGACTCCAGAAGCCCCAGGCACTCGTGTGCGCAACCTTGCCTTCAGCTCTGTTCACGTACATTTTGTGTGTCCAAGCAAGGTCAGCCGGAGGCTTTGAAGTCTAAGCAGCAGGTGAGCAATAAATGGGAAATGTGGAAACTGTGAGGCGCCCTGTCAAGTTTGGTCAGTGGCCCGCTGTGGGACCTGAAGCAAATCATTCAGTCCCTCCAAGTTGGAGTCAGTCGCTTTTAAATGTCAGTCAGAACACTGAGGTACAGCACAGACCTGATGAATAATTTTAGAAAACATAAAGTGACTGTAAGCCATTTAGAAAAACCTAAGTATTAAACAAACAGTCTGTGTATTTTTAAAATTGCCCCCTTAGCTTTGTTTAAGCGAATTAGGTTGTTTTGCTGTGGTATATGCAGGCACTTGCTTATTTAAACATTGTCCTGATTAAGGATCATTTATCTTTTCGCTGTTTCATGGAGAATCATTAGCACGGCCATGGGTTCAAACGCGGCTTCACCCTGTGGTATTAAATCATCAGCACAGGAAATGGCACTTCCTGTCGAGAGCTGTGCCGAGCAGCTTGACACAAATTAGCTAAAAGCGAAGAGAAATCCTACTGCAAATCGATTCTCCTTTTGCCTCCTCAAGCACAACACACACCCCACATACACACACAGAGAGGCAGGGCCCCTCCTCACTGCAGGGCGCTTGCTTTAATGGACTGGCCCAAACCTCACCTGCAGAATGTTAGCCCTGGAGGGAAAGTGTCTTGAGAGACCTCTGAGAAGTCATGAGAAAGGAGACTTCAATTAAGACCTGATCTTTGAGGTCAAACCTTGAAGCAGAGACTAACCAGAACGCCAAAAAGTCTAAAACGTCACGTAATGCCAAATTTGTAGGAAATCATGGTGGTCTCTGTTTGAAGAGATTTTTTTTTATAGCTACCAGAAATTAGTTTTACGTATCTAGAATGACTGTTATTTTTTTTTTTACCTGCTTTTAAAACTATATTTGTAATTTCATCTATTTAATATCCTTTATGTATTTTAAATTGCATGCGTGATTCTGTATTTACCTCTATCCACATCTATATGAGTTTTCCTGTAAATGCTCTCGTATTCTCGCGGCATCTTCCTTTTGTTCGTTCCAGATGTGCCCTATTGAGTCCAAGGAAACAAACACAGCAAAACCCAGCACATCTGTGCAGCACAGTGCTGGGCGCTTGCCTTGAGATCCTCACAGGAGAGGATCAGTAACAGAATCGCAACCAGAAAGCTCAGTTTCACTGCTAATTCTGAATTTTACCCTCTGAACCCAGCGCTTCTATAAATGGCTTGGGGTGGGAAAGTTAGATATTCCTCCAGAACCAGTAAGTGCCTGAAACGGGGTCTCCTGTTCCTTCCTGGTCTATCTAAAGCAGAGCTCTGGCCTTTCCTCTTGGAAATGGGAATGGCTGCCCAGCCTTCTGGGAAAGAATGTGTTTCAGCCAGTTTTCATAAAGTTCAGAATTTGGTGGGCAGTTTCCTTTGAAAGTTTACATTAAGCGTTCTGCCACTCAGGTCTCCATATGGGATTGTTTAAGAAGTTTAAAGCCCAGCAATAAATGCCTGGCTTCAGACATACTGTAAGCCTTTGTCTACTGAAATGCAGCAGCTGTTTCATTACTTAAGCATACCAGGTAACAGCGGCCCAAAGAAATAGCAAGTTTATGACGGGCAGTCATGCCAGATAGGCTACAGCCACAGCAGCAGAGCGGCTCAGGACCTTAAAGCTCACACACACACAGACTCACCCCACCCTGAGCAAGCCCACCCTGATGGCCTCACCTCTAATTCTCTATCAGAATCAAGGAACTGGACCCAACTTTATTCTAAAATGTGCATGGCCAAAGGGCACAACCACTCTCTGGATACCTGTTACTTTCCCCAGCTTTTACAAGAAGAAATTGAGTCCCTGAGAGGTCAACAACCTGGAATGCAGAATTGAATTGAAATCCAGGTCTTCTCTCTCACATTCCAGCGCCTGTGCCATTTCACGGTAGAACAGGGTCAGGAGAACTCAGCCCTCACGGTATGGGGCGTCCACCCCCACAGGACACATACACAGGGCTGTCTTCCCAGAAGCTAAGTTGCCCTGGAAGATTTAATTAGAATTTGTTTGAATATGAGAAACAATGCTCCAAGATTGGAAACATTGTTTCTCACATTCGAATAAACCCAGAAAATACAAAGTAGAATGTAAAAGCTTTTATGTATTCTTTTTAAAACCCAGATACAAAACCTGGAGGCATTTCACACTTGGAATGCGCGCGGCAGCCTGTGCCCCGGGACCCCTGGAGGTCCATGTCCCCTCTCCAGGGCCATGGGCACTTTGGTGGAAAATTGGTAACATGTGTCCTAGTTTAAAAACGCACTGTAACTTTAATGTGTATGAAGTGTTATTTTTAATGTTCATTATTTGAGTGGAAAACACATCTTAAATACCAGAACTTTATTCTGGTATTTATACCACTGATCTGTTTCTGCAGGCCAAGCGTCCACCACCAGATGGGGACCAGGCCTGAGCCCCTCTGCCCCCTTCCCCCACCCTCAGGGTAACACTGTCTGGATTCTTACACCAGGTTCACTTTACCTGCTTCTGAACTTCAGAGTCTTGAGCTCATGCCTCTTCTGTTGCTCCACAGAAGGTTGGTGAGTCAACAGAGGCTACTCTTTAAAGAAGGAAAACTTCCTTGGTAGTTACCCGAACTGAATCCCTGGTGGGGGAAAAGGAGGCTTAAATATGTGTAGAGGGTAGTGAGAACTCGTGAGTTTCAAAATTCTAGCCAACCCCCTCCCCACTCCCAGAACTGAACAAAATTCAGCTTCTCAGTGAAATGTTTATGTGTGTGTTACGTGAATGAGAGAGGTTACCAGGCTCAGAACTGCCACCCTCCCATCCAGAAACAGAGATTCGTAGGAAACAGTATCCCTGGCAGCTGATCTGTATGCAACCCCTCTGTGAATGTGTTAAAATGGTCTCCATCATAACAAAGAAGGTTCAAGGTGCAAAATACACAGGTAGCCATCAAAGGGTTAAAGCCAGAAAGTGCAAACCACGCAGAGCATTTTTAATGGCTTCACATTCCTGTACACAGTGGGACCCGGTGCCGCGAGGCCTGTTTACCCAGCCCGGAGACAGAGCTGGAGCGAGGTTTCGCATGTGAGAACTTTGGCAAACCATGCAAAGAGGTATAGGTTATAAGGTGTTATAATTCAAAGCATAAATATTGTTTCAGATCTCACATCCAAGGAACAATTCTTTTGTTAGGTTCTGAGGCTCGTTCTACAGGCTGCCGCCTCAAAGGGTCCATTTGGCCTCTGATTGCCTTACAGAATCCTTGGTTCAGATGTTTGTACCACGGACACACAAACTATTCAGAAAGTCCCTGAAGTGTCTGGAAACTCCCCAAAGTCTCCCCACCCCTGTCTTCATTCCAAACTCCAGTTACAGCATCACAAAGCTAGGCTACCAAAAGAGAGAAGAGTCTTTCTAAAATTTTGCCTAAGTGCAAAATAAAATGTTCCCCCGTGCTCTGTATTCAACTGTGACTTGATGTCGGCACTACTGCAGCAGCCCTCGGTCACGCTCCTGCCTGAACACACCTAATGCCCATCGAGTCTGCATAAAGAAAAGAATAATGGCCTTTGTGTATTGAGCACCGTTTGCTGGGTGTCCTGCTAGGCGCTTCATATTCATTCTCTACCCAGACCTCACAGTTCTTAAAACAGATGCTACCAGGACCCTCTTTTATAGGTGATGAACCTGAGTTTCAAAAACCCATAAGTGTCAGAGCTGGGATGCACATCCAGACCCGTCTCCTTCCAAAGCCTGTGTTCTTCACCCACATGCTGTATTGCCATTTTCTCCCATCCTAATGACGATTCGTTCCCAGCATCGCCAAAGCTTTTGGACAGGAGGCAAATTTCAGTGTGTAACATGTCGATGTGGAAGATTCAAAGCAGATCTTTGACGAGAATGCTGAAACAGCCCCTTGTTGTTTTATTTCGTGGTTTGACAGTTGATTCTTAATTCAGATCTGCTTTAAATCTGTCCTTGGAAGGATCTTCTTTTCATTTGTATTTCATAGATCCTGAGTGATACTCCAGCAAGACGTAAAGCTTCAAGAGAGCTTAACCCAACTGATGGTTCATGCCAGGAAAATTTTCTGGTTTGGAGTCCTAAGCTGTACCATGTTTCCAAGTGCGTCCACACACCCAACAATGGAAGGCTTGTGCAGGGCTGGGCCTCCTTGGGTACGTGTGTTCAGAAGTGAATAAGTCTTCAAGGAGGGGAATGAAATATTCCTAAGCCTTTCCTCCTGCCTCTCCTCCAACGTGCCTCTCTGGTTCCATTTGATTTTCTGTCCTCCCAAAGCTCTCCTCTCATGAATAAAGACTCTGCAGTAGCCTTCTGATGGGTCAGTTTCCACCACTGCCTTTACAGACTCTCTTTGTCATCCCCAAATTAATTTCCCAAGGACTCTCTTTCGTTGCTCCGCTCTCTTGCCTCTCATTACCCCGGCTGCCAGGTGGGTAAGTCACCACTCTTCCCAGGCGCTCACGGCCTTCACGTTATACCCCAGGGTCACTGGCCAAACTGACCCACCACAACTGCATGACCCTCTCGTGGGAACCAGACTCAGGGAACCGAGTGTTGATGAGACCACTTGACCTCTGACTCATTCCTGGTTGACAGAATGTGTGTGAGGAACACTCTTTTATTTTGCCACAGTGGAATTGTGGTTTAGCTGGATTTTTGATTAGTAGAAATATTTATATGTTTGGTGCATTTAAAAGTAATGAGGCTTTGTGTTTTAGACTCCTGTCATCTCCAAATTGAAAATTTAACCGTCACCCAGGAGCCTTGAGCACCTACTTGACAGGTGTTCTGTTATCCGTCTGAACTTAAAAATGATTAAATATGCTTGATTTTGGCCTTTCTGGGATGTATCCAGTGACCCTAGATAACATTTAGCCTTCTCATGTAACACAGAAACTGAAAACCTTGGGTGGTTTATTTTTCTAGGTTCAAGTTAATTAACAGACCTCCTGCAGCACTGTAGCTAGGGATGCTTAGGTTGAGGGTACAGCTCAGTGGCAGAGTGTGTGCTTAGCATGCACAAGGCCCTGGGTTCCATCCCTAGCACCAAAAATAACAATCAGGATGCTTAAACATAAATTGTCTTTGCTAAACACTCAATCACAGTAAGAGAAGGAGGGAAGTTGAATGAACATTAAGCTTCAAGTCAGAAGATTGTAGATGAAAAGTAGTGCTACGTGACCTTGTACAAGTTACTTAAACTCTCTGAACTTGTTTTGCATCTGTAAAATTGGAATAATCCATTTTCATCAGTATGTGGTAAGAATTAAGTCACAAAACCTGAGAAGACCCCAGGACATACCATATTTTATTGATTCTCACATTTATTTTTTTACATTTAATATTTCTGAAATGAAGATATATCTTACATTCTAAAGTATCTTGATATTCTGTCCAGAATTAATTGTGTTTTTTCTTTGTCAGTGTCACACAGAGTTGTGTCTTAAAATAGCTGATGTCTTAGATTTGATGAAATGTGAGGGTCTGGTCTTTTAGGGTTGTGCAACATATACATCCTCTCCATTCTCATCCTACTACAAAATGCCCCTCCCTTGAGACCATGCGTATTATTCATAATTCAGTTTGTTTTTGCATATCCGTTATAATTTGAAGCCTCATGCCAGTCCTCATCCTTGTTAACTAGTTTTTACCACAAACTTCCAGAAAAAAAAGAGTGCTTCTCTTTTTTAAAAATGAACTTACATAGTTATATGCCTAGGTATCGTTATATTTCAGATTTAATAAGTGTCCCCGTATTTGTACTAGCTCTACTTTGAGACAACTTTAAAAGTTGAAGTCCTAATTTTCCAGTGAGTTTGGTGAAATCTGGCCAAAGGATGGGGAGTGTCGAGGAATGGAAGACTCGAGTTGCGACCCAGGTCTCCACACCCACATGGTCATCTTCTGCTTAGCTTGTGGTCCCCCATCCCCAACAGGCCAAGCAGATGAGTGGCTGCTGTTCCGGCGGTGGCAGGGTTTGGCCCCCTGTCACTGTCTCTGTGTCCCTCAGTGTGGACAGCCAGAAGGCAGAGGGAAAACTGTTTCTTGGGCTAGTATGGAGGAGCGAGGGTAATGACAAGAATAAGAGTGAAGCGGGAGTGCACGGGACAGGGCACCGCCCCTTCCTGGGACAGCTGTGGACTTTGCCCACAGACTCTGGCTGCCACGCTCATGCCTGCCAGGCCTCAGTTCATTCCCGCTGTTCCTCCTCTCTGATGCCCGGGCAGGTGAAGGACTTCATCAACTCGGAGCTCCTGGCGCAGCTGTACTCTTCAGAGGACCAGAACACTCTCATGGAGGAATCCGCTGAGCAGGCTCAGCGCCGAGACGAGATGCTCCGGATGTACCAAGCCCTGAAAGAAGCCCTTGTGATCATTGGTGACATCAACACTGCCACGGTGTCCACTCCGGCCCCACCTCCCGTGGATGACTCCTGGATACAGCACTCCCGCAGGTAGGAGGTTGGCCCTGCAGCCCCCAGGGCCCCTGGGCTGGTCCAGAATCACCTCCAAGAAAGCTTCCCCAAACCAGGGTGATCTAAAGAGAAAGGAGAACTGGTTCTCCAGGGGCCAGAGGGAGGGCTCCTGCAAGAACAAGCACGACGCAGCCGCACAATGGTTATGTAAAGCACGTGCTCCACAAGTCCTGAAGGACTATCGAGCTAGCATTATGCTTTAGAAAAAGGAGGTTGCAGCATGTCATATTGTGTCTGTGAAGCACAAAAGGCAACTTGTGCACAGAGAGGAAACAGAGCCTCTCACATATGAGACTGCCACGGGTGGTCTCCATGGAGCAGAGTGACACGAAGCTTACTGTTCACCATTTATCCTGTTAAGCCTTTTGACTTATATAAAACATATCTGAGTCACAGAGTCAAAAAATAAATTGTAAAAAGCAGAAAGCATGAAGCCTTTTAAAAGATAGATTCAAAACAAAAGTCACAGTGGACCCACCATGATCTCTCTCCCTCAGGTCACCTCCGCCAAGCCCCACCACCCAAAGGAGGCCAACTCTAAGCACACCCCTCACGAGGCCCACATCTGGCCGAGGACCGGCTCCTGCCATTCCCTCTCCAGGCCCCCACTCAGGGGCCCCTCCCGTCCCGTTCCGTCCAGGCCCCTTACCGCCTTTCCCCAGCAGCAGCGACACATTCGGAGCCCCTCCGCAAGTCCCATCGCGGCCCACGAGGGCCCCCCCCAGCGTCCCAAGGTAAGATGCAGAGCAGAAATCGGGAGGGATGCTCTTGGTTCTCTTCTCATAGTACAACAGACAAAATTTATTTGAAAAAGAGAATTGCGAACATCTTACCATACGGTGTTCTCAATTTTCGCAAGCTCGGAGGTTGTGGGGGCGTGGGAAAATTTCTGAGCTTATTACACCATTTCAGAACCAGTATGTAGTCTTAAAACCTCTCACTTATCAAGTGGCTCAGACTAAATGGGACCAAAGGAAACCAGGTCCCAGTGAATGGCATTTGGGCAGCCACTAAGGGACTGCGACAGGGCCTCTGGCTGGATCAGGGCAAGTGTGTGCTCCACAGTCCTGAGCACTTCAGGGTTAAGCCCTCACCTGCTCCAGAAAAACCTCTGCCCTGAGGAACCGGATCCATCTGCCCCTGAACTCATGATCCTTACCCTCTGTATCACTAACTTACAACTAAGTACAATCCAGACGATGAGTTTGGTGATAAGAAGGGGGACCTTAAACTGGCAGACAGGGCTGTGGCAGGAAGAGCAGGCGCTTTGGAGTGAGACGAACTGGGTTGCCACAGGTCCTGGGTGACTCATTTAACTCTGGGACATGAGCTTCTCATCTATAAGACAACCGTGTGGCCCAGACCCAGCGTGGCCAGGCCTTGAGAGTCTAATGAATTGAAAGAACCATGGTTGTGACTGGCGTGATCACCACACTGACCCTAATCAAAGAGTGCACCTGTGTGATCTCAATCCTATGATTTTTTTCCTTTAAATTCAATAGACTTGGTTTACAATTACTTGGAACTGAGCTGAAGTTCTAGTGAAAATGGTAGCAGCTGACATTCACGGTGCTCTCGGTATGTGTTAGGCATTGTCGTAAAGACTTCATACATACCTTTTGTCTCAAGCTCACCCCAATGAGATAGGTTATCACTATTACAGATGGGTGCTGAGGCCAGGCGGGTGGTGCACGCCTGTGATCCCAATGACTTGGAAGGCTGTGGCAGGAGGATTGCAAGTTGGAGGCCAGCCTCAGCAACTTAGCAAGACCTGGTCTCCAAATAAAAAGAACTAGGGATGTGGCTCGTGGTAAAGTACCCCTGTGTTCAATCCCCAATACAAAAAAACAAAAGCACATAAGCACCAAGGTTAAGCATCTTGCCCAAGGCCACTTAGTCCTAAGGGAGTTGACACCAGAGGTCTCCACCTCAGCACTGCTAACGGCCTTGCTGTGGCTGGCCACCCCGTACATGGTGAGATGTTCAGCATCCCTGGCCTCTGCCCACTAACTGCAGTTCCAGTCCCCTAGTGGTGACTGATGAAAAAAGCTTTACACATGGCCAACAGCCCTTTGAGGGGCAGAGACCCCTCTCCACATGAGAGCCACCACACTGTAGCATTCCAAAGAAATTCCCTTCCACATATCAAACCCAGATTTCATCGCTGAACCCTGCTGCAATCAAGTTGATTGTTTTAGAGAACCTCAAATTGGCTGGGAAATTATGCCAGGAAGGTATGGAGGCCACTGTGAGAGAAGGGAGCCTTGAACTCTGCCGTTCTGTCTATTCAGCTACGAGAAGGAACCACAGCAACCTGGTGTTCTGTCCTTGCGAATGGCTGTGCATGCCCTGTCTGCTCGCTTGACTGCTTTGCCTCTCGGTTTCAGATAAGCCAGCCTGCTGGTACCCTTTAGAAAATGAGCTTTGGGATGCTCAGCTGCTTTGTTGGGCGGAGTTGCACTTGGTATTTAGGAGCTCACACGCGCCTATGGCAGTCAGGCGGGAATCCACAGCCCAAGTGATGGCCAGGCCTGAGTGGCAGCGCTAGAAAGGGGGGCCATGGGGTTGAAGGAGACTGAATGGGGGAATTCGTAAGGCAACAGTGGCGCTATTCACAATTTCTAGAATACTCCCAAGCTAGAGCCAGATTCAACTTGATCTGGCCTTGCAAAAAGTCCCAAATTTAAAACAAACTAGAGTAAAGCGTCAAAGAAGAAAGTTGATGGTGGTTTTATGCTGAGCCTTCAAGTTTTGGTGCCAGTTCAGTGCATTGGGAGGGAAATCCCTGGGGGGGCGGGGGGGTCACCTGAGAGAAAGCAAGAAAGACTGTGTCAGAATCTGTACGCCTATTAAAGTTTAGCTGTAGATGGAGAATTCTGACCACATAAAGTCTGTTTTTAATAAAAGCCAGATCAGGAATCCTACCAAATGCAAGCCAGAAATGTGGTTTAAGATTTCAAAAAAAGAGAGAGAGAGAGAGAGAGAGAGAAAAGAAAGAAAAAGAGAAAGATAGAAAAGGGGGGAAATGAAGAAAGCTCTTATTAAAATGTCACCTCATTCTGTTTATTTATACATTTGTTTCTTTTCATGATTTGCTCCATTTTCTCTATTAAGAACTAAAAATGTTGAGATGCCATTATCCATCATCTCCAAGAAAACAACCCTTGGCTTTCCCAACAAGGGAGTTTAATTTTTTTTCTCCAAGTTCCTTTGCTTTCTTAAGGGACCTTTCTCCTCTTTTATCTGAAACCAGAAACCCATAACATGACAAGACAGCAGGAAAGGTGTCCCGCCAGCTCCCTGTTGAGCTTTAATATTACAAAGGCAATAACCGAACTGTTAGAGGCAAGAGATTCTGCCACTCGGCCTGTGCCCAGGCTTACTTTTCCTCTGGATACTTCACGACTTTGTTAGCAAGTTGTGATCTTGACTTTGAAGAGCACATATACTCTCATTTTAACCCTGTTCAGAAGTAATCAACGCCCTTGCAATTGTACAGAAACCCTGTTCTGCCTTTTACCAAAGTGTTATTCTGTCTTTCCACTCCAGTGTACAGGGAGAGAAGGGGGAGAGATGGTGGAGTCACTGTTGGCTCAACCTTTCTCAGCTGCTCAGGCTGTGCTGGTCTGTGTGCATGGAGCCTTTCAGGAAGGGGGCAGGCAGTGCTGCAAACTGCATGTCTGTTTTAATTAATTCCACCTGAACCAGAGGAGCATCTCCATCCCAAAGAGACCCGCTAGTATAGCTGCTTCTGCCATTAGTAAATTGACTGTACACAGATCTGTGATTTGTGGAGCATTGCCTATTACCAGAATATCCGGATGGTCCCCTCTCCTCTTACCTCCATTCAACTTCTCTAAAGGGGCTAAACCCTGTTTGAAAATGCACACCAGGTGTGCATTTCTTTAGCAAGATGATCTTAAGCAGACATCCCTTCCCTTCTTTAGGGTCCCTGTTGTATTAATTGAAGACCCTCATCTTCATCAGACATTGTTTTTTAGAGCTGATGTTTCTATTTTCAGTTACAGCTTCTTAAAATTAGTTAATTGGAAATCACAGTCTTTGACATTAACAGAACAAATTAACTGAAGCAGAGTGTGTTTTTCCTGGCAATAGCTCACTCTGGCATTATTTCACTCATTTGTCTTCTCCCCTTTCTTTGGACAAAGCTATTTTGCAACAGTCAAAGGGGAATAAGGGTGGGAGGGCAGGGTCTCTATCCAAGCAGGAATAAACTTCATTTACTTCATCCATCTTCCATCCAAACACACACACACAAAAAAAAAAAAAAGTTTAAAAATAGAAGTACTTTCTTTTAACCACCCTTGTTCACCAAGTCAAATGGTGTCTTTTAAAAATGGCAAAACTGAATCATTCAAGAGCGTCTGACTTTTATTCCAGCTCCTCTACATGCTGAAAACTGATGGAAGCCAATAAAAGGCCTATTGGAAATAGTCTCTGATGAGCCCCATGAGGAAGCCCATGACCCCACAGTGTGTGAACAGCCCCCAATAGCCTCAGGATGATCCCAGAGGTTCCCACTTAGGTCCACTCCTCGACTTTACATGCACACGTTCCAAGTCTTAGCCCAATCCCACGTGGCAATAGTTTGACTAAATCAGTCACACCCAAGGGTTTCCAATTCTTCTTCATCAACAATCAATGCCCTTGTTTTTCATTTACAAAGATAAAAGCCATTTAGTTCTCAGGTTCAATTTTGTTTTAAGTGTTGACCTTGATGGCGTGCAGTGTTATAGCTCTTTTACATATTTTATAAGTTGATATGATTGACAGTGCAGAATCCCTTTCACTTGGGTATAAAGTCTCCTTGTTGTTCATTTTTCCAGCCAGTCCCCAGATTTTAAGTAAGGACAGACCCACGATTCTTATATGAGTATGTGTTTGCATCCCTCATATCAAGGTTTGGTTCCATGAAGGATGAAGCTGCTGAGCCCTGAAGTCGTGGGCTAAGTGTACATGAGATTAAGCTACCGGTGGGACTGGCCTGGGTCTGCTTCCCCTGCAGTCGCGTACTGGAACCGCCCTGCCTTCTCCCTCCACAGCAGCCCTCTAAAAGCCTGACTTTTTTTTTTAGCAGCCGAGTGTCATTTGAACAAATGATGAACTCACCTTGTGATCTGGGATGTCAGACGCTAGCTTTCCGTTTTCCTCACCCTCCTTCCCCTTTAAAGAACAAATAAAGTCTATAACTAGATACTCTGATTTTTCAGAGAACAGTTTTTATTTTTGGCAACTGGATTTAAAATCAAGCAAAAAAAATTTTTTTTCCAGAAGTATAATTGCCAGGTATATAGCTCAGTTGTTGGAGTGCTTACCCAGCATACCCCTCTCTCTCTCTCCCTCTCCCCCCCCCTCTCTCACACACACACACACACACACACACACAAAAGCATAATTGCGAAGAACTTGTTCTTTTTGATTCTTAGTATTTTAAGGCATCTCATGAGGCAATGGTGTTACAAAATTTGTCACTGAAACCCCCAAATTAATAATTTGTTGCAGGTTTAACGTGAGCTGTCAGGATGCTTAATATACTTTAATGGAAAATGGAATTGTGTCCACATGCTGTTCGTGGAAGAAAAGGTCCCATTTAATTTAAGCCCCTCCATTAGAAAACCCATCAAAAGCCTCATTTCAACCCCACAGTGATTTGGGTTGCAAGGTAGTATTCACTAAGGTGAATCAATGGTTAAGGTCAAAGCTTTTCATTCTT